GCTGGGTCAAATAGTGTCTCTATTTTGAGAAAGCACCGCCTTCCACAGTGGTTGCACCACCATTAATACTTTTTTATTATCTAGATAGTTACTTTTACCAGTTGTTGGTTTTGTGGTTTTTTTTTTTTTTTGGTTTTGTGGGTTTTTTTTCCATTTTATGACTTTGAGTTTCTGTCTAGTGTCTTTTTTGTGGAATCCCTGCTTTTAAATAAAATTTTTATTTTATACTAGTTTTACATACAAAGTTCATATATGTAATTTTTCACACCAGATCTTTCCTGTTTCCTTCACCCACACCCCCACCTATCAAATTGTTCAACCCTATGATGAACCACCACCACCTACCCACCCAGCCTCACCCCTCTGCTCTCACCCTTCCCTCCTTGCATCTTCATACATGTTCTACAATAATGGTCTTATAAAAAAAATAATAATCTTACACAATATTTGTCCTTATGAGATTCCGTTCACTTAGCATAATGCTCTCCAGTCCCTCTCAAGTTAGATGGTGTTTTACAAAATCATTGCTCCTGCGTACTATTCCATCATGTGAATGTACCATAATTTCTCAATACATTTGACTGTGGTTGGACATTTGGGATTTTTCTATGTTCTTGCGATGGTGAGTAACACTGCTATGAATGTTGTGTACAAGTCTCCATTTGTGCCATAGTTCTCATTTTTCTTGTGGTATATTCCAAGCAGTGAAATAGCTGGGTCATATGGAATTTTATGCTCAGCTTTCTGAGGATACACCAAACTGCTTTCCACAGTGGTTGTACCATTTTATAATCCCACCAACAGTGTCAAAGAGTTATCCTCTCCAACGTTTATTACTTGTTGTCCTGTTAAGCTTTACTACTGCTACTGGTGTGAGGTGGTATCTCATTGTCGTTTTGATTTGCATCTCTGTTATTGCCAGTGGTTTTGCGCATATCTTCATGTGTCTGTTGGCCACCTGCATATCTTCCTCTGTGAAAATTCTTTGCATGTCTTTTGCCCATTTTATAGTTATGTTATCTGTCTTTTACTTGTGGAGTTCCTGTAGGATTCTTTTGATATGAAAATCTTGTCAGAGATGGTATTGCCAAAAGTTTTTTTACCCTTCAGTAGGTATTTTTTTCTCTCACTGTTGGAAAAATTTTTTGACGTGCACAGGGATTTAATCTTTAGAAGTTTCATTTCATCAATTTTAACCTCTCTAGATTGAGCATTTCTGGCTATGTTTGGCAGTCTCTTTATACCATCGACTAGACTATCTACACTTAATCCCAGTTTGTCTCTGATGAACATTACGGTTTTAGGCTTTACTCCCAGGTCTCTGATCCACTTTGAGTTTATTTTTGTGTACGGTGTGAGATGTGGATCCTGTTTCAGCTTTCTGTAGTTAGAAGCCCAGTTTTGACAGCACCATTTGTTGAAGAGGTTGTCTTTCTCCATTTAATAGATTTTATTTCCTTGTCAAATATCAGTTGACCATAGATAGCTGGGTCTATTTCTGGGTTCTCAATTCTGTTCCATTGGTCTATGTGCCTGTCATTGCACCAGTACCACGCTGTTTTGGTTACTGCTGCTGTGTAGTTAGTTTGGAGGTCAGAGAGTGCCATGCCTCAAACTTCATTTTTGCTTTTCAGAAGTACCTATTCAGGGTCTCTTTCCTCTCCAAAGAAACTTGACAATTTTCCCTTCGATCTCCTTGAAAAACAAATTTGATATCTGTATTGGAATTGTCTTGAACATGTCGATTGCCTATAGGTTTGACATTTTCACAATATTGAATCTTCCTATCCATGAACAGGGCACATTTTTTTCCATTTATTTTGGTCTCGTTCCAATTTTTAATAGATTGCCTGCTATCTGAAAGATTGGAAGTTTGATTCCATCCAGAGGTAGTTGGAAAGAATCACGTGGTAATATACTTCAGATAAAACCTTAAGGAGCACAGCTCTAATCTGGCACTCATGGGATCATCAGGAATCAGAACTGACTCAGTGGAAACAGGTCTTTTTGTTTCAGCCTGTCGGGCTCCCTTTTGCATTTCTTGTTAGGCAGATCTACCAGTAGGTAGATCTTAGCTTTGGCTACAGGGAATATATTAATTTCCTATCATTCTTAAAAGCTGATTTTGTTAGATGTAGAAATCATGGATGAGTGTTCATCTATATTTTTGTTTTCTCTTTCTTCCTTTTCTAATATTTTTGCATAGGTCCTTAACTGACTATTTTTTAATGATTTCTTACCATATAACAAAGTGAATCCCTCCTGGACTAGCAGTTTGTAACTAGCAAAGAGAGACTAGGATCTTGTTGTAGGCTAGCAGGAATACAATACAGAAAAAGAAGCTTCATAGTGTTGCTTTTTTAACACAGGTTTGAGTCGAAGATTGGATTCTGTTAGCCTTGATTTTCTTGAATTTTGTAGTTGTCATTTTTTTCATAATGAGTTGTTTTACATTTTACTTGGCTTTACTGTCAGATTATGTCTAGTTAGTGGTATTTATTCATATGCTACTCACTTTTAGCAAACAAAGTTGTGTCATCTGCATAACACAAGTTGTTGGTGAGTTTCCCCCCAATCTATAGGCCACATTTCTCTTCCTTAAGTCCAGCTTTGCAAATTATTTGCTCAGCATACAGATTGAATAGGTATGGAGAAAGAATACAAACCTGATGCACACTCTTCCTGATTTTAAACCATGAAGTGTTCCCTTGCTCAGTTTGGACAACAGCTTTTTGGTCTAGGTGTAACTTCCATATGAGTACAATTTAGTGTTCCGAGAGTCCCATTTTTCTCAAGGTTAAACATTGTTTGTTATACTCCACACAGTCAATAAAACACTATAGATATTCTTTTGGTATTCTTTGCTTTCAGGAAGGATCCATTTAACATCAGCAATGATATCCCTGATCCCATGACCTCTTCTTAAGCCAGCTTGAACTTCTGGCAGTTCCTTGTCAATGTACTACTCTGGCTGTTTTGAATCATCTTCAACAACATTTTGCTTGCATGAGATGTTAGTAATGTTGTTCAATAATTTCCACATTTTGCTGGAACAATTTTCCTGGGAATGGGAACAAATGTGGATCTCTTCCAGTCAGTTGGCCAGGTATTGGTCCTCCAAGTTTTTTGGCCTAAACGGGTGAGCATATTCAGGGCCGCATCAGTTAGTTGAAACATGTTAGTTGGCATTCCATCAATTCGTGGAACCATATTTTTAACTAATGCTTTCAATGCAGCTTGAACTTCATCTTTCATTATCATTGGCTCTTGTTCAAATGTGACTTGTTGAAATTTTTCTGTGTCAACCAATTTCTTTTCTTAGTACAATGATTCTGTGTACTCCTTCTGTCTTCTTTTGATGTCCTGAACCATTAAAGAGTGTGCGCATACTATCTCTCAGTATTGCAATTTGAGGCTTGAATTAGTTTTTCAGTTCTTTCCATGAGAAATGTCGAGTGAGTTCTTCCCTTTCTATTCTCTGGCTCTAGCTCTCTGCATGTTTTGTTATAATATTTTGCTTATTGTGTTCTGTAGAGTTGGAATTGAACCATAGCTGGCCCTCTGGCAGGTTTTCAGAAGCATTTAACTGCATGGAAGGAGGTTGCTCATTTTTTTCCCATGGAGCGGCTGGTGGACTCACACCATGTGCCTTCAGGATTCCAGTGCAACTTCTTGCCGCATAAAAGATATAAAATGCTTACTACAGAAGATCAAGGACTATACAGCCTTTGGTATTGATTATATCTCAACATCAAGAAGACGAAGGTTCTCACCACAGGGCCGAAGGTTCTCACCACAGGGCCAACAGTTAACAATATGATAGATGGAGAAAGAATAAAAACTGTCAATGATTTCATCTTGCTTGCATCAACAATCAACACCTTTGGTACTGGCAGTCAAGAAATCAGTATACATATTGCATTAGGCAGGTCTACTGCTAGGGACTTCTCTAAAGTGCTGAAGAGCAATGATATCAGTTTGAAGCTCAGGTTCACCTAGATCAGGCCATGGTCTTCTCAGTCACCTCCTATGCATCAGAGAGCTGGAAAATGAATAAGGATAACAGACGAATTAATGCCTTTGAGTTGTAGTTTGGTGTAGAAGTCCACTGAATGGACATCTAAAAGAACAAATATCCAGGGGAGCTCTGGTGGCCTAGTGGCAAGGAGCTGCAACTACAATCCCAGAGGCGCACGGTTCGAATCCACCAGATGCTCTGCCGGGGAAGGAGGGGCAGTCTCCTCCTGTACCAATCAGATCTGATTTGACGGTACACTCACACAGAAATAATAAAATTAAAAAAAAATTAAAAATAGAACAAATATCCATGTCTTAGAGAAGATGCAGCCAGAGTACTCCTTGGAGGCAAGGATGATGAATCTTCATCTTTGATACTTTGGGCTTGTAGGTAGGCGAGGCTACTCCTTGGAAAAAGACATCATGCTTGGAAAGATGGAGGGTCAGTGAAGGAGAGGAAGACCCCCAGTGGGAAGGACTGTCATGGTGACTTCTGCAGTGGGTTCGAGTGTGTTGAAGATGGTGAGGATGGCACAGGAAAGGGCAGAGTTCATAGGGCCACTATGATTCATACTTGACTTGATGACACCTAACAATAGGTCACCAATTTTGGAGAACTTTATTCTGCCAGCTTTGCAACCCCAGATGATCTTTCAGTGTCTTCCTGTATTCCTGTTTTACCTTCACTACACTTGGCAGTCCTATTTCATATATGTGGGTAGAGGTCATAGATTCCTTAGTTTCATCAAAGATGAGCTTACATTTCTCTTTCTCTTCTTTTGGTTTGATTGTGCTTTCTGACGGGTGAATGGAGCATTGTGGTAGTCTGTCAGTTATAATTTGGAAGTCATTATATAATGTTCCTTAAACATTTATACTGTTTTACATTTATGTTTTTCTTGTACTAACATCTATTTTAGATTGTGACTAATCATACTAATTTGATCTTATAAAAACACTATGCTTTTTTTTTTAAATAACAGCAACTGAGACATGAAAATCTTGTAAATCTGTTAGAAGTGTGTAAGAAGAAAAAACGATGGTACCTAGTTTTTGAATTTGTTGACCACACAGTTCTCGATGACTTGGAACTCTTTCCAAATGGACTAGACTATCAAATAGTCAGAAAGTACTTGTATCAGATTATTAATGGAATTGGATTTTGCCACAGTCATAATGTAAGTATTTGGTTTAAATAATTATTTTGTTAATCATTAACTTTCAAGAAAACTAGTCAATTTGTTTATGAGACACTTGCATCAATTAAATTTAAGCAATACAGTGAAAATGTTATTTTACTATTATCAGTCTCCACATGTCAAAGTATGTGCATTTCCTACCCTCTAACATATTACTTTGGAAGCAGGAGTGGCATCCACTTCCATAATAGCTTGCCTCTGGAAACCCTATGAATCTGGAGAGAGGATGAAAGGCACCCAAGCGTCGAGAACTCTCCTTCATAGGGTCGCTATGAGTCGCCTGCGACTCGACGGCACTTAAAAACAACAACAACATATTACTATGTTAATACATAGTATTATGTTAATATTACATTATTATATATTATAATATTATATTAATACATAGTATTTTAATACATGATTAAAAAATAAAAGAATGACAGAACTCAAATACCCAACATCTAGATTCTATGCTTAACACTTTGCTATGTTTGCTTTGTCACTATTAACTTTTTCCATAAATCCATCTGTTTATCTGTATTATATTATATTAAAAGACTTTAACCGTAAGTGCTTCAGCCATGCGTATATTAACTAGCGCTTAATATTAGTTTACTTTTGAAAACTAACATTTGCTTTAATGAAATGCACACATTTTTTTTCAGAATTTATTTTGTTTTTTTTTGTTCTTGAGAAAAATAGGTCCTGGCAACTTTGTTATGATACAGGCTCATAAAATCTATTTTGATAAACCTCACTTAAAGATTATGTCTGTCTTGTCTGGCCCAACTCACATTAGCCAAGGTCAGGGTACTGAATACAAATTTAATAAATTAGAAAGGGTTGATTGTCACAAGGCTAGAATATCAGATGGTATATCATTCTTGTAGAACAGCACATGCAATCTCTGTAGTATGTAACTCAACTCAGCTCTACTCATTGCCATTGATTTAGAGGCTATACATTGCATGAGATAAGACTGTCCATCTTTCTCCTGAAAAATTGTGGATTTGAACAGCCAGAAAGGCACTGTCTTTGAGTTAGCAATGCAACTACCTATTGACTATGCCACCATGGCTTCTATAGAATAAGGGAAAGGATAATAGTAATAAAGCTGAGTGGGTTGGGAATAAACCAATATGAGAATTAAATGCTTAATGGCATGACCGTAAGAGGGACTTAATAGTGTTTCTCAGCAAAGATGATTTCTTGCTGGTGGACCTGTAAACCTTGACGTTATCTTACTGAACTCAGCTGCATTCTTTCATGAAATCGGAGGGTGGGTTTGAAGCCTCATCCTTTTGGTGAGCAGTTGAGCATTTGACCCTTTACCCACAAGGGGTCCTTTCAAATGAAATACCTGATTCTTGATTTCATATCATCTGTATCTTTCTTTTCCATTCTTCTGAGGCCCATTCTGCTTTAATTATTTAGTTGCTCCACTGTTTTGCTCCTTCCTGTTGTCCCTGTTTGAGTTTATTTTTGGTCAACATTTTCTCTCAACAAGAATAGTGATTATGACACTCCTATGACACAAGCTCACACTTCCCAGGTTGACCTTGGATTCATATCCTTTCTCTATAATTCCCATTCAAGAGAAAAAGTACTCCCCACACTTCTGATCTGTTTATTTATGTCCTCACTCTCTTGGTCTCCTCATTCACTAGGATTATTCTTTCTTTCTGCATTTATCCAGCTCATGCTTACAATTAGAGCTTATGTCCACCTTAGAGCTTGCTCCTTTAATAAAAACTTTCCTTCAGCTTTCAGAGATAACTTTTCTCTCCTAACGTTGAGCTCAGTCATTAACAAGACCATTCATCTCTATTAATAAATTACATGTATTATTTATAATTATAAATTACTAACACAACTAAAAAAATTAGTATAGTATTTCATTTAAATCCTCAATTGTTTAAATACAATTTAAAGCATAAATGTTCTTTCTTGTCCAGCTAAGTTCCAGGCCCTTTAAACTCAGGAACTTTTGCTTTTTTTTTTTTGCACTTTTGATTTGTAGTCTTTATAAAACAAACAAAAAAATGCCTTATACATATCAGTACTCAAAATGTAACTATTTTTGCTTAATTTGATGGCTCAACATATGTCAGATTATGCTTTTTTTCCTTAGATCATACACAGAGATATAAAACCAGAGAATATATTAGTTTCCCAGTCTGGTGTTGTCAAGTTATGTGATTTTGGATTTGCCCGTACCTTGGCTGCTCCTGGGGAGGTTTATACTGATTATGTGGCAACCCGGTGGTACAGAGCTCCAGAACTGTTGGTTGGTGATGTCAAGTATGGCAAGTAAGTGGCAAATAAGAGATCAGTAATGGGGCAGGGCATAAACTCCCTTTTCTTGGTAATGTAGGATATGTTTCTAATATAATAAAGGATCCCTGTAAAATTGAAAGGAAGGCTGGAGTTGGAGGCAGTTTCTAAAGTGAATTATAATAATTTTTTTGCTTTTCCTTTAAACATTATTGTAAAAATGTTAAAGTAAATGGGAAAAAACCCCCACACCCAAGGTCTATTTTTTATAGTGGTATGGAAAAATAAACCTTTAAAGAGAGATAAACAGATTAAAAAATAAGTAGATAAGATATAGACAGATAAGATTGACATTGTTAGGGATTTCATTTTGTTTGGATCAACAGTCAACATCCTTGGAAGCAGCAGTCAGGAATTCAAATGACTGACCGTGTTGGGTAAATCTACAAAAGACCTCTCTTAAGTGTCCAAAAGCAGAGATGGCACTTTGCACCTGATCCCAAGTCATGATAGTTTCAATCACCTCATGTGCATGGATAAGCTTGGTAAGGAATAATGAAGACTAAGAATTGATGCTTTTGAATTACAATATTGATTAAGACTATTGAATGAATTAGGGACAAGAGGAGAAGGAACAAATTTGTCCTGGAAAAAGTGCAGGCAGAATACTCCTTAGAACTGAGTATGATGAGACTTCATACTTTGGACAGACCAGTTCCTGCATAAGGACATTATGCATGGTAGAGTAGAATACCAATGAAAAGAGGAAGGCGCTTAGAAAAGATAGGCTGACACAGTGGCTCTAACAATGGGCTTAACTATTCCAGTGGTTGTGAGGATGGTACAGGACTGAACTGTGCTTTCTTTTAAATAGGTCAGAGTCATAACTGATTTGATCACACTTAACAACAGCAAAGAGCTGTTAACATTGGCTCAGTGAGCCTGACGTTGTTGGAATGTTGTTGTTGTTACATATGGTTGAGTTGGAACTCACTCATAGTTGACTCAACAGCGGGTTTTCAGATCCAGGCTAGTTGCACAGGAGGCAGTTGTTCATCTTTCTCTTGTGTAGCAAATGGTGGATTCGAATCACATGCATTTGGGCTGGCAGTGCAGCTACTTACCACTAAGCCATCAGAGCTCCCTTTATTGAAATGTTGTTATTGTTTTGTGCCATTGAGTTGACTACAACTCACAGTAACCTTGCCTTGTCCTGACCCAGCCTCACTGCCTCTGACACATCTGTGCCATTGCCACAGTCACTGTGTCAATCCATCTCATCTAGGATCTTCCTCTCCTGCTCTAACCCTCTGTGCTTCCAACCATGATGTCCTTCTCCAAGATCTGGTCTCTCCTGGCAACATGCTCAAAATTTGTGAGATTGGTCTTCAAAAATCCTTGCCTCCAGGCAAGGATTCACCCTCTCCAGGGCAGACATGGCAGTCCATGGTATATGTTCAGTATTCCTTTTTAGTACCACAACTCAAAGGCATCAATTCTTCTTCTGTCTTCCTTAATCATTGTTCAACTTTCAGATACACAGAAAACAGTTGAGAAGACCATGGCCTGGATCAGGCACACCTTAGTCACTAGACTACCATCATTGCTCTTTAGTACTCTGGAGAGGTCCTTGACAGCAGTGAAATTGACTAGGGTGGAACTAGAACATAATTGAGTAAACAAAAATTAAAAATACAAATAGTTTTAAACCTTTTAAATAATTGTTTTAAGTAATGGCTTTTTAAAACCATAATTAAGTCTTCAGTATTGCATATGCAACTTTTTCTGGTTTTGATTGTAGTATTTTAAAATATTTTCTACAATTTCTTTGTTTTTAGAGTAGAGCAAGCATTATTTCATATTGTCTTGATTACTTTGAATTCTGATTTTGGTTTTGTAACTAAGATAAGCCAAAGTATTTGTCTCTGTGCTAAATGACTCAATGTATTCTTTGGAGTCCTTGTAACTGATTTGTAAACATAGTTTACAAATTTTAGATTCCCCTATTACTGTATATTTTACCAACAATCACCACCCTTTTTAGTATGCTTTTTTAGCTTACCATGACCTAAGAATGACCGACATTGCTAGAATTATATGTAAACAAACAGTGAATAGGCTCTGAAAAAAAAGCCCAAGAGGATTATTTCTAGAATAAAGTACATATGATAACAACCCTTTTGCTTTTTTCTCTCTTGTGTCACATGACTGAAGTTTCTGGAAATTTGACTTTTGTAAAATTGGGAGTTAATACTCATGTTTATAATAAAAAACATTTTTATGGGTAATTTCAGACACACAAATACTGCTTTCAATAGCAAGAATACAAAACAGTAACATGCAAAAGGGAATTTAGTTCCAGCTATTTTCACTAAGTAAGCATATCAGAATAGCAATGATACTCTATACCATGATGTTTTCCTTTCAGAGCTGTTGATGTGTGGGCCATTGGTTGTTTGGTAACTGAAATGCTTATGGGAGAACCCCTGTTTCCTGGAGATTCTGATATTGACCAGCTATATCATATCATGACATGTTTAGGTAAGAATATACATCTGCATTTTAAAGTTCAAAGATTTTCCTGTTTTTGTCATTTTCCTTTTTGTGTGTCTGTTGATTTTAAGAAACTGTCGTTATATTAAAGCATACACATGCTTGAAGTGCAGACAAAGAGTAAATAGGAAAATCTCATCAGTTTGTGTATGTGTGTTTGTTTTGGTAAGGTGCCACTGAGTCCTCTGTGTGACTCATAGCGACCCTATGCAGGTCTGAACTTAGCCCTGTCCTGCTCTGTCTTTGTGATCTCAATGTTCTTGAGATCATTGTTATATATACTGTGTCAGTTCATCTTGTTAGGGGTTTTCCTTTCTTTCTGTGGCCCTCCACTCTTTCCAGCATGATATATTTTCCCAAGGACTAGCCCCTCCTGACATCATGCCAAAAATGTGGGAAATGAAGCTTTTCTAAGAAACAGACTGTTTGCAACATCTCCAAGACCAACCTTTTTTTTATTTTGGCAGTCCGTGGAATGTTCAGTACTCTTCTCCAACTCGAAGGCATTGATTCGTCTTCTGTCATCTTATTCATTTGTTCAACTTTCACATGCATTGCAAGTGGCTTGGATCAGGAACACCTTAATCTTTAAATTGACATTCTGACTCTTTAGCACTTTGGAGAGATCCTTGACAACAGATTCTCGCAGTACAACATGTCTTTTGGTATCCTGGATTTTGAGTGTGTGTGTGTGTGTAAAGTCATTGCTATTGAGTCAGAGCTGACCTTCCTGTGTGTTTCCAAAGCTACAAATTATGCAGGAGAAAACTGCCTGTTTTTCATCAGAGAGTCCTGGCTTTTGGATTAGCAGTACAATTCCCTATGGATTATATACAAAAGCATGTTCTTATGTGCCGTCCAATCTCCTGTAACTGATAGCGACCGTATGTACAGCAGCTCTGAACCCTGCTCTATCCTGAGCCAATTTCATTGTCTCAGACACACCTACCCCCATAAATCCAGTTACTGAGTCAGTCCTCCTCAAGGGTGTTTCTCTCTTGCCCTGTCCCTCCACCTTTCCAAGCATGATGTTCTTCTCCAAATGACTGGTCCCTTCTGGGAGTGGCAAAATATGAGAGATAGCTTAAAAAATACTATGTTGGTGTTGTTATGTGCCGTTGAGTTGCTTGCAAATCATAGCAATCCTATGTACAACAGCCCTAAGCTCTGCTCTGTCCTGTGCCAATCGTACCATCTCTGACACACCCATCCTGATTACCCCAATCACTGAATCAATCCACCTCATAGGGTGCCTTCCCCTTCTGCACTGTCCCTCCACCCTACCAAGCATGATGTCCCTCTCCAAGGACCTGTCCTTCCTTGCAACATGTCCAAAGTATGTTAGATGGAGCCTCAGAATCCTTGCCTCCAAAGAGTCACCCGGTTGACCCTTTAGAGGATGAATGTTTGTTTTCCTAACAGTCCATGGTACCCTCAGTACTCTTCACCAACACCAAAACTCAAAGGCATCAATTCTCCTTCTATCCTCCTTAGTCATTGTCCAATTCTCTGATGCATAACAAGTGATAGCAAAGACCATGGCCTGTATCAGATGCACCTTAGTCTCCAAAGAGACACCATAGCTCTTCAGTACTTTGGAGAGGTCCCTAACAGCAGACTTTCCCATGGCAATACATCTTCTAATTTCCTGGCTGCTTGTGCCAAGAGTGTTGACTGTGGAGCCAAGCAAACTGAAGCTGTGAACAATCTCAATCTCTTCACCATCCATTCTGATGCTGCCAGCACTTCAGGTCCTCCTCAGTTTCAGCAAGCAGGGTTGTATCATCTGCATAATGCAGATTGTTGATAGATCTTTTGCCAATCCTGATCCCACATTTCTCCTCATAGAGCCCAGCCTCCCGGATAATCTGTTCTGCATACAGGTTGAAAAGGTATGGAGACAGGACACATCCCTGGCATACGCCCTTTCCAATTTTGAACCATGAAGTGTTTCCTTGCTCTCTTCTGACGACTGCCTCTTGGTCCAAGTATAGGTTTCGCATTAGCACGATCAAGTGTTCTGGTATTCCCGTTCTTCTCAGAGTCAGCCACAGTTTGTTATAATCCACACAGTCAAACGCCTTTGCATAGAAACACAGATATACATTCCTCTGGTATTCCCTGTTTTCAGCTAAGATCCATCTAACATTAGCTACAATATCCCTAGTACCATGACCCCTTATAAACCCAACCTGGACTTCTGGCAGTTCTCTGCTGATGTGTTGTTCCAGTAGTTTTTGGGTAATCTTCAGTAGAATCTTGCTTGCATGTGAAATTAATGATATTGTTCTGTAGTTTCCACACTCTGTTGGGTCACC